ACCCGAACCCGACGGGTTGACCCGAATTGACACCCCTGTAGAATCCATAAGAAGAGTTCAACTTGGAAATAACAACTAATGAAAGTAAACTAGAGAAACAATTTCATAAGCAAAACAACCTAAATCAAAATACAAAATGCGATAACTGCTACTGAGAAGTCTACTCCTATAGTCTACTTAGCAAAATGATCGAACTTTTTATAAGAATTGTTTTATAATGAATAAATTTGACATTTCAAACTCAATAAGCATGAATGATATGCTACTGGAAGACTATAAAAGTGGCACGATGTATAACATAATAGCATTATAACCATCATGTCATTAATTTTAAAATAGTGTCTAATGGCATCATTGAAAGATTTACAATGTGATTATATTCATGATTATTTTTATGAAAACAACAACCAATGCACTTCTATGCTAATATGTCGCTACATCAGTCATCAGGTGTACTCATATACATCTATAGTAGGCTTATCAGTCGTTTGTCATGATTTCTTATATCTGTATATATATTTAAAGCATATTTTTCTATACATCTTAAAACTAGTAAGATAATCATGGAAATGCAATAATTTCTGTGTAGCCATCAGCCTGACTATCCAATGTCAAAATGGGCTTTACAGATCTACACACCATTGCAAATTGGCATACATATTCTATACACCATAAACAAGTATTTAATAGGTATTGTATAATCAACGACCAATGCTATTTTTATAATAAAATATGATTTGCAAAAATAAAATTTATGATATTCAACATAGGCAGCATGTATAAAAATACGTCTTGCCACTACATGAATCATTTTGATATTAAAAAAATTATATTACTAAGTATGAATCTATTACAAATATCAATGATATTGCTCTTTACCAGGGGCGGAACCAGCCCTAATTTTCAGGGGGGGCAAACTTATGAGACATATATGTCGGGGATTCAAGGGGGCAGTGTCTTCTGGCGGGGTTCGACCTGTTGGGGGCAATTATCTAAAGACCATAGTATTTTAAAATTTTTAGGGGGGGCAATTGCATGAAAACCCTTGTAATAAAGACTAAAAAATGAATAAAAAGGGTAAATTACCTAAAAAAATCATATAAAAAAATTTAAAAAAAAATTTGAGGGGGGGCAACTGCCCCCCCTGGAACCTAAATGGTTCCGCCCTTGCTCTTTACAAAGAAAGTTACTTTTACCCCTAACCTTAGAGGAAATGATATGAAACTCCAACTTTAGTTGATATCCAAACAACAATACCAAATAAACTCAACTCGAAGGTCTTCCATAATATTAACTCCCAGTCAATTATGCACAACGATAGGCATGGAAAACTAACGATTCGTTAAAATAAATACAACATAGACAACATAGGTTCTCTCAATCAACCGAGGTTAATTAATAATACAATGAAGTAGATCCCATTAATCATTAGTTTAACCATATCATTTAATCTACTCGTTTGGTTTAAATCAGGATTACTGCAATTCTATTGCCAAATACGAATAATTCCAAACATTTAAATAAAATTGAAATTAATTAAATCTAACCTAAATAGTTGACCATAATAAAACAATTAATTTAATCCATCTAATCTAACCATAACACAACCTACAACAACAACAACAACATCAAGTCTTTATCCCACTATGTGGGGTCGGCTACATGAATATTTTTTCTCCATTGTGTCATATTAAAAGTCAAATTCTCATTTAAATCTAATAGAGAAAGATCATTTCTAATATTTTCTAACCAAGTCTTTTTAGGTTTCTAACCATAACACAACCTAATTACAAAAAAAAAAAAAAAATAAAATAAAATAAAATAATTTTGATAGATCTATAGTTGTTTTAATACTAAACAAAATATTGATCAATGAATAAGTGCTCGAACAATGAAGAGGCATCACTAAAAAGGTCTTGATATCACAATTGTTGTAATAAATAATTGAAATTACATAAAATGATTAAAACAATAGATTATTTAATCTTTAAAGTAAAGAGAAAAGAAGGGGAGCAGAGAAAGACAGAGAAGGAGAGGAGGAAGATGAGACTCAGTGTTGCTGAAGGAAGGGACTGAGAAGGAGAAGGTATAATTGGTGGTTCTCAGTTGAAGGTGGAAGAAAGCAAGGGTTTGGTTGAAGGGAATTTGATGGTTATAGAGGAAAGAATGAAGATGTAATAGCCCAAACTCTTAATTATCAAGATATTGTTCGCTTTGTCCTAAGTGTCTCACGATTTTGTCTTATTGGTGTAACTTCCCAGGAGGTCACTCATTCCAATATTACTATGGGATGAGCACGCTTAACTTTTGAGTTTCTTAATGAATATTCAATCATTACACCAAAAGACACATTGATGTTTAAAAGTTTAGCTTCTTTTTTACTTAAAATATTTCACAATCTCCTCCACTTAAATAATTGATGTCATCGTCAGTATATTTATCCCAGAATCATCCACCAGTTAGATACGATTCTAGAAGTGACCCTTGCCATATAGCACTTTGTCTCATACAGGGTTTAGGAGGTGGCTTCCATAACATAACACTTTATCTTGTATGACACTTAGTTCCTATCTTTCGACTGATGTATTGTTCTGATACCATTTGTAACAGTTCAAACTCTTAACTATTGAGATATTGTCCGATTTTGCCTAAGAGCCTCACGATTTTGTATTGTTGGTGTAACTTCCCAGGAGGTCAGCCATACAAGGATTTCTCCAAGATAAGCACGCTTAACTACGGAGTTTCTTAATGAAATTCCGACAATTACACCAAACGACGCCTTAATGTTTAAGAGTTTAGCTTTTTTTTTTTACTTAAGGGATTTCATAGAAGAAGCCCTAGCAATCTCTTTAAAAGGACGTGTTGAGGCGGCAAAGGATGCAAGATCATGTGCGAAGATTGGGCTTAATGGGGTTTGGTGATTTACGAGATAGAGGAGGGCGAGGGTTTTAGAAATTTGCATGAAGTGATTCTGTCAGGGCTAGTTTAGCTGTTAGCTCAGTTCAGGCACTGGTTCACTACACTCGCCCAATGAGGATGTTGCAGCTTTCAAGCTAAAAGTAATGGGCTTTTTAAAAGTAAATGGTTCAAATTGTTTTTTTTTTGTTGAGTCAATATTTGCAGCCACTCTTACATACTTGGCTTGAGATTTTTCCTTGTTGTTTGAGATTTACTTGTGGGTTTTTTCCCTTTTTAGATTTTTGTACGGAAGAAATTGCTTCACTCTGCTATTTAATTGTTCACTGCCATCTATTTCTATGTACGCTTAGATTTGAATGGTGGAAATCTGATAATTGACACACAATGTTATTATCTTATAACAAATTTACATTATTGAATATCAATATGATATGTGCTCAAATGGACGATCTGAGTTTTTTGTTTGTCAGAGTGAACAGTGAGAATTTCTCATATATACATAGACAAGTGAGAGTTGGCATGGCTTAGTACAATTGGTAATTTGGTTTCCTAATGGATTATGAATACATGGAGAACACCTTCATTTTTCTCTATGAGAATGTTGCGAAATATATTTTTTTTGCTGAAAGATGTGTTTTAGAAACAATTTTTTTGCTAAAATTTTTTTGAATATGATTTCAGCAATTTCAGAAACCAATTACAAGAAAATCAAGAATAAAACACACAAGAACACTTTTTTTATTGAAAGTTTTATGAAAAAAAATACAAGATACAAGTTGATCTTCAATTGGAGAGGAAGATCTGACTCTCCCAAATCTCTACCCGCCGGCTAGAACCCAAACACCCTAAGAATAATCAAATTTCAACAAACCACACAACCCTAACTCTAGGAAAACCCCCCTACGTAAAGCATATAATAAATGGCAAATACCCAAACAACCCTCCCACAATTTCCTCCCAAATTTGTCATATTTTCTTAATTATTTCGCTCCCAAATCAGCCCTCAAATTAGCCTCCAAATCTGCCCTTGTCAATTAGAAAATATTTCCCAATTCATCCCCACCAAATCAGCCCTCAAATCAGCCCTCTTCAATTAGGAAGCATTTCATAATTAATCTCATCCAAATCAGCCCCCCAAGTATGCCCTATTCAATATTTCAATTAGAAAATATTTCCTAATTAATCCATTTCAAATCAATCTCCAAATCTTCCTTCAATTAAGTAATATTTCTTAATTAATCCCCTCCAAATCAGTCCTCAAGAGCCGGTCCAGGAAAGGACTGGCAGGACTAGTCTAGGAGGGACCCGATTTAACAATACCCACCTCCAAAGACCCACCTTGTATGCAAGGTAAAAAAATAGCTCCCTCCTTAATTTCATCGTCATCACAAGCAGTGAGAATTTGGAAGTTCGGTCATTACAGTTGTGCTCTGCTGTATACCTCTCCTCACATCTGAAACATAGTCCATTTTCCCTCTTCTCTTGTAGTTCTATTTCTGTGAGCTTCTTGAAGTTTTCCCAGGACCTCCTCCTATAGTCTTCTTCTTTGTAGTCTTTCTAAGAGCACCCAATATCAGCTCCTTGGATGCCAAAAAGGTTGTGGTCATCTTGTACGAACCTCCTGAGCTGCTATCTCCAGCCTCTCTCTCTCCACTAACTGAGCTAGCTCCATAGCTTCTCCCAAATCACAAGCCCTCATCACTTTAACTGCTGCATGAATCTCTTGTTTGAGCCATTTCATAAAGTTCCCCTCCAGTACAATCTCCGGAAGCTGATCCAGTCGGTTGGCTAGGTGCTCAGATTGCTCACGGTACTCCACAACTATTTCCTCATGCGTTAGAGCGAAGAACTGCTCATAGAAATTCCCTCACCTGCTGGTTCAAAAACTTTCCAACAAACAATCCTTAAACTCCCTCCAGGTCCGTATGGGTCTCCTTGTATCCCTCCATTAGTACCATGCCAACAGTTTCCTCTCTAAGCACATCCCGATCGCCGTCAATCTCTCCTCCTTTGTCAATCTATTGACGGTAAAGTACCTTTTCATCATATATATCCACCCATGTGTATCACCTCTCTAAAAAATAGGCATATTCAACTTTCTCACCCTTGGATCTCCTCAGTTCCCCCTATTTCCTCGATAATTTCTCATTCCCCAAAAAGGTGGTTCCCCCCAGTGTCCCAATCACCCCTTCTACGCTCGTACCAAAACCTTTCCTCAAATTTTCATATTCACCTTTCGAATTCAGCACCCATTGGATCATAATCATCAATCTCCTTTCAAATTCAGCACCCCTTCGATCATAATCAGCTCATTTCCTTTCAAATTCAACACCCCTTCGATCATAATTGGCCCATCCATTTTCAAATTATGTTCCTCTCATTTCAAATTCAGCACCCTTCTTTCACGCCTGACCTCCTCACGCCTATCCCCATACCTCTACTCAGTCCTCCTTAAGAATAGGCTCTAGGGAAGGCATTATATCTTCTCTCTCTAGAATCTTCACCTCCTAATCTTCCCTTTGCCTTATCGGATTAAGATTTTTCACATTTTCTTGGTTGCTGGTGGCTTCCCTTGCCTCCGACGACACCATTTTTGGTTGGCCCTTGAGTAACTTCTTCAACATGTCCTCCAAGATGGAAAAATTTCCATCAATCTTCTCGTGGACGGCTGAAATTTGACTTTTAAAATATGAAAGTTGAGTTTGGATATTAAAAATTTCATATTTCAATTGCCCGATCTCACCTTTCAATACTTCTACCGTCCTGCCATGGGTACCCGAATTTAGGCTCCACTAGCAAAAAACAACTTTGATATGCATTTGGCCTCCAAACAGCAAAAACAACAAGATCGGAGAGGAAACTCAGCCCTGGAAAGTGCTATTATACCAATTTGATAGGAAATGCTTGTAGAAATGTAGGAAAAGCCTTGGCTGAAATTTGGTTTCAGCAATTTCAGAAAACCAACAACAAAAAAATCAGGAATAGAACACACAAGAACACTTTTTTATTGAAAGTTTTATTAAAGAAAATACATGATACAAGTGGATCTTCAATTGGATAGGAAGATCCGGCTCTCCAGAATCTCTAGCCGCCGGCTAGAGCCCAAACACCCAAGAACAATCTAATTTCAGCAAATCACACATAACCATAACCCTAGGAAAAACCCCCTACTTAAATCTTACAATAAATGACAAATACCCAAATAACGCTCTTCCAATTTCCTCCCAAATATGTCATATTTTATTAATTATTTCCCTCCAAATCTGTTCTCTTCAATTATGAAATATTTCCCAATCCCCTCCAAATCAGCCCCCAAATCTGCTCTCTTCAATTAGGAAACATTTCCTAATTAATCTCCTCCAAATTAGCCCTAAATTTTCCCATTCAATTAGGAAATATTTCCTAATTAATCCCACTCAAATCAGTCCCTAAATCTGTCTTCTTCAATTAAGAAATATTTCTTAGTTAATTCCCTCCAAATCCCCCAAGAGCCAGTCCAGGGAAGGGCCGGCAGGACCGGTCCGGGAGGGACCTGATCTAACAGAATATTGGGTCCTTGATAATTGATTCAATTTGATGACTAATTTTTGGTGTGAAATATGTATAGGTCATGTACATAGAGTGAAGATGATAGTTCTGTCTTACCGATGACTAGTAATTGTACTTTTGCATTCAAGTTTATAAATAGTGTAAATTAGTTGCAGATCTATCAAGTTTGTCATATGTTGCAATTGGCCCTATCTTGTTGGAGCAAATCCAGCTAAAATCCTAAGTTTTAGCTGTTACACATTTAGCTCCATTTGTTTGTGTCATTTAACTGTCCTATTAGTCTGATATTGCCCTTCATTTGTAGTTTTTTGTTGTTGGTAAACTTTTGGTTAATTTGACGTTTTCATCAGAAAGCAAAACATAATTTAAGTAAAAAATAATAAGCTGTATGGATTAAGCTAAATGTTTTTTTTACAGCAATTGTCGAACTTGCACTTAATCCGTGCAAATTGGTTCATATTTTATTAACCTTTGTACAATTATTTTCTAAATAGTATATCCAAAATGATATGTTTAGTTGTCTTTTTCTTTTGCAACTTTTACCAGATTTCATGAGAAGAATCTCAAGCCAGTCGAATGAAAAGTTTGCCTCAGCCTCAGCAAATGCATCATCCCCTTTGTCAGCTTTGTTGTCTGATGCTGAGATTCTACCCGGAAGAAGTGATGATCATGGAGGAGTAGTTGTTGAAATGAATGGTGCTCCGATGAGCTCTGATTCTTTTCTTTCTTTGTTAAGGGCATCAATATCAAAATGGAGGCAACAGGTGAGTGATTCAATCATGACTTGCAAGCAAGTGAAGTAATTTCACGCTGTCCTTTTAATATTATTTTAAATATCGTCCAGTGATATTTTACAATCAGCACTTCTAAATATAGCTAAAGCTCTGTTGTCATTTTGATTTATAGAAGACAACAATTAATTTCTACTTAATTATTACTTTATAAGCTATTTTGCTGGAATGTTGCAGCCTGTTATTAGACTAGGAAACAAAAATCATGAGCAAACAAAAAACAAGTTTATCATTCTGGTTTAAAAGCTTTAATGGTTGAAAGGCAATTACCAACATCATGGATCCATAACCATATCTTAAAAAAATTATTCATTTTCATGGAACCCTCCTTGTTATTTGTTCTTATTGATAGCTGTTTTTGGGGTTAAAATCATGTTTTTTGTCATCCTTTTATGCTTTCTTAACTTTCTAGATTAGACCTTACCTTTTTCATTACTTACTCTTGCATGAAAATTTCATCTCTTCATCCCTACCTTCCAACCTCATCAAGCTGGAAAAGCAAAAAAAAAAAAAAAATGTCGAAGTGGCTCTAGGTGATCATTTTTGTCCCAGTTATCTAATGTGTTCAAGTCAATCCATTGACTTCTCAAATGTGATCCAAAGCAGCATCTTTGTTGGATTATTTTAGATTAGATTTGAGATGTTAATAGATTAAATTAGATTTGAGGAGTCAAGGGTTGGATATATTAAATAATTTAGGATTGAATAACCCCTCGTTGATAGTCTAGGGATCATTTTAACATTTTTCTTAACTGAAAATGTTATTCTGTCTATTATACGTTAAGAAATAAGAATGAGCCTCCTCCCATTATCACAATGGAGGCAACAGGTGAGTGATTCAATCATGACTTACAAGCAAGTGAAGTAATTTCATGCTGTCCTTTCAAATATTATATTAAATATCCTCCGGTGATATTTTACAACCAACACTTCAAAATATAGCTAAAGTTCTGTACATTTTGATTTATAGAAGACAACATTTTATTTCTACTTAATTTTTACTGTATCAGCTATTTTGCTGGAATATTGCAGCCTGCTATTAGACGAGAAAAAGCAAGTTTATCCTTCTTGTTTAAAAACTTTAATGGTTGAAAATCAATTACCACCATCATGGATCCAGAACTATATCTCATTGTCATGGAACCCTCCTCATTATTTGTTCTTATTTATAGCTGTTTTTGGGGTTAAAATTAAGTTTATTGACATCCTTTTGTGCTTTCTTAACTTTTCAGATTAGACATTACCTTTTTCATTACTTACTCTTGCATGAAAATTTTATCTCTTCATCCCCACTTCAACCTCATGAAGCTGAAAAAGAAAAAAAAAATGTCAAAATGGTCTTTACTCTTTAGATTATTTGTAGGTGATAATTTTTATCTCGTTATCTAATGTGTTCAGTTCAATTCATTGACTTCTCAAGTGTGATCCAAAGCAGCATCTCTGTTGGATTATTTTAGATAAAATTTGAGGTGTCAATAGACTAGATTAGATTTATGGAGTTGATGGACTAAATTGGATATATTAAATAATCTGCGTCTAAGCTGACCCCTCTTTGATAGTCTAGGGATCATTTTAATCTTTTTCTTAGCTAAAAAAAATTGTTCGGTCAACTATATATATTAAGAAGTAAGAATGAGGCTCCTCCATTACTGTTGATTCAGAATTTTGTATTCAACCTTGTTTAAAGGTAAACTCTACTTATCTAGGATTGTATACCGTTACTTTATACTTATGCCAAACTGCAGGATTTATTAATCCAGAAGTCTTTTATGATGATGCCTATTGGTAGTATATTTCAAGATTTTTTTTTTCTCCAGGGGAAGAGAGGAGTTTGGTTGAAATTGCCCATTGAACATGCAAATCTTGTCCAACCTGCTGTTCAGGTAGCTAATCTTCAAAAATGACTCGTTAATCTCATCTGAGATAGGAAAACTTGTATTTATAGTTATGAAGGTTTACTTTAGTGAACGTCTTTGAACGATCTTTCACTTTTTAAAATATAAACTGTCACTGGCTGGACTTGGCTTTCAATTTGTATTAGAATTGTTAGAATTCATAGAATTGGATAGGGAAAAAGGATTCTATATTATTACACAAATTTATCCCTATTTATAGATCTATGCATGATATCTTAATAAAGAAACAAATAAATACAAAATTATTCATAATTGCGCTAATATAATCCTTCCTAAATTAGCCACCCGAAAATGGAAGGAGATTGGCGTAATCCAAGTGAGCCTCTCACGGATCGCCATCCTTGGCCGTGGGATCAAGGGCCAAAGGGATGGTTGTGATTTTAACACTCCCCCTCAAGATGGGGAAAACAGATCAATCATTCCCAGCTTGGTAATTAGTCCAGTAGAATTATCAAGTCCCTTAGTGTACCATAGTCTTCCATTTGGTAAAAACAGTGGGAGTATTAGCTTCAACGATAAATGATAGCGATGAAGGCTATATCAATCAAGCCTATAAGGGCAGCAATGAAGGCTGCGTTGAACAATAACCATCAAGATACCGGAAACGACAATAAAGGTCGGTGGTGGGACAGCATAGAAGGTTGATTAATTATCCTTTAGGTTATGTCTCCTTCTCAGTTTTGAAGGGAAAGTCGGCAATGAAGGCACGACAATATATAGCTAAATTATGGCAATGAGGGCCGGAGGTGGGAACTTACATTCCTCATAATTCCAGCAATAAAGGCCGGTAGAAGGACTAATATTCCTCATAATTCTGACAATGAAGGCCGGCAGTGGGAACCTATATTCCTCAAAATTTTGGTAATTTTGATAGTAATGAAGACTATCTGTTTGATTCTCGATAGCAATGAAGGCTTCCAAAAAATAAGATCCCTCCGATCTTTAGTTACAGCAATAAAGGCTGATGTTTTTTTTCCCTTTTTTTGTATCAAAAATCTGTGATGAATTTTCTTCAAACATTGTGATATCACAAGACTACTTTTAATTATATCAGCAATGAAGGCTGATTATATCATCAATAAAGGTTGATTTGATTATATCAGCCATAAAGGCTGATATTAGGTCTTAATCAGATCTCAAATCTGATTTAAGACTTCTTGCTGTTATCAGACCGTCCAAGATAATCGAGAGGGGCGTCTCGGTGGATCTGAGCGGAACAGGAAAATCGAAAGGAGCTTCCGATCAAACCGAGCGTCTGCGAACAACTTCTTCCGAGTGTCCGAGCGGCTTCGTAGGTGCGGCTTCGCTTCCGCAAGCTCCGTCGTTCGTCTTGGGCTTCGTTCACAACCTTTGTCCGCAAGCTTCGTCCGCAAGGGCTTCATCCTGGTTGTCCGCAGAGCTCGACTCCTGTTGTCGATTCTTCCAAACAGATCAGTCCTGCTTGCGATTCTCTCAGGCGACTTCGTCTCGAATGTCTGTGGCAATCTTTGGGGTTACACAGGTAACTGAAGCGGATGGAGGTAGGATCGTACGTGGAAGCCGAAGCCACTGGCCTGCCGACTGGGCTGGTGACGAACGACGATGGGTTTGGTCTACACGATCCCATCGACCCTTCCCAGCAAGCTCCCGTCGCGACTTCCGCACTTCCCGTATGTCGCAATGTAGGCATCCTCCGATCTCTTCTTCTTCTTCTTCTTCTTCTTTTCTCCTCCGAAGATCTACGATTGTTCTTCAAAGACAATGAAGACCATTGGCTCTGATACCATGTTAGAATTCATAGAATTGGAGAGGGAAAAAGGATTCTATATTATTACACAAATTTATCCCTATTTATAGATCTATGCATGATATCTTAATAAAGAAACAAATAAATACAAAATTATTCATAATTGCGCTAATATAATCCTTCCTAAATCAGCCACCCGAAAATGGAAGGAGATTGGCGTAATCCAAGTGAGCCTCCCACGGATCTCCATCCTTGGCCGTGGGATCAAGGGCCAAAGGGATGGTTGGGATTTTAACAAGAATCTAATTTGATTTTATTGTTTTGTTTGTGGAAAAAACTTTGTATGTTCAAAATTCCTTTGAAAACATTTAAGATAAACCAACCATGTTTGACTTTCAGGGATGCCAAAAGATCCTTGTTCCAAAAATGCCTGTTTTTTAACTTATTCAGTTTTTCAACAATTTTTTTACATTAGGTTAAGTGTTGCAGAAATGAGGATGCTCAGGTGAATGAGTGGCTTTACTCTTAAAGATAGGATACAAAACGAGCATATATGTGAAAAGGTTGGAATAGCTCCAGTGGAAGATAAGATTAGAGTGAGTTGCCTTAGATGGTTTGGTCACATAAAACGGCGGCCTTCTGATGACCCGGTTAGGAGAGTAGCTATATTAGATTTGGCTTATATTAAGAAAGGTTGAGGAAGGTCTAAAAAGACTTGGTTAGAAAATATTAGAAATGATCTTTCTTCATTATATCTAAATAAGAATTTGACACTTAATATGATACATCATGTAGCTGACCCCATGGAGTGAGATAAAGGCTTGATGTTGTTGTTGTAGGAAGTTTTGTAATAGGAAAAGCATACATGTTGGTTCTCTTGTTTGATATACTTGATTATTGACGGTAATTACCAACTGACCTTTCGTTTTTTTGGTATCAAGTTTCTAGCTCAATAATTCTGTAGAAGTTCGAACTCTTCTTCCATTACTATGGATTGTTGCTTAGGGCCTTATGTATAACGTTTTCTTGGTTGGTGGATGATCTTTCGTCTCTAATATATCTTGTATTCCTGTACTTTGTAAAAGTTATAATGTGAGAGCAAAAAGAGTCTTCAACATCATACTTTTGAAATATAAGTATTTATCCAAAGCCAATACATATCAATTTTTTATCTTTAATTGTTAGGAGATGTTTGAGATGGAGAGAGAGGTGTTTGAAAAGCATAATCATGGATTTTTTTTCTTTCTAGAGAGAAAATTGTCTCTCTCTAGGTATAGAGAGAGAAAGTGTGAGATGATGGGGCTTTTTGGTGGAGGAGGTGTAGAGGAGGATCTTTTGTGAAGGTGGATAGTGATTTGAGGGAAAGAGAGGGAGAAATCGAATTTTTAGGGTTAGTGATAAGTTTAGGTTTAAGAAGGAGGAGGAAGAAGACTGTGGAGAAGGAGAAGAGTAAGAGGAAGAATGGAGAGGGAAGAAGAAGAAAGAAGAAAGAAAGAAGGAGAAGGAGAAGGGAAGGAGGAGGAAGAGAGGTTACCTTAGGTGGCGATGGGCGGCGGGAAAGCCCGGTGGTTGGTTGGTCACGTGAGGGAGAGTGAAGGAGCCGAGAGGAAGAGGGAGAGAGTGGGCTATGTGTTTCATGCATGAGTTTGGCGTGAGGGAGGAGGGGGGGGGGGGGGGGGGGGGGGGGGTGTCGTTGTAGTGTTATGTGAGGGAATGAATGGGATGAAGGTTTAAGTGAGGGTATTTAGGATTTTTTTAATTATTATTTGTGAATAATTTCAAATATAAAATTGATATATATATATTTTTTAAATCGTCATGTCGTCATTGTTTGTGCACGCCAACATCGCCTCGATTCACGTGCGCATGAAATTTAAATTTTCGTTATGGCTGATTATACTTCTCTCACAATGTTTTCATTGCTCATAACTACATTTATTTATTCAATAAAGGGAATGTATAAGATAAGCTAATAATTATAGAGGATTCAAATTTATGTGTCATACTATGAATCTATGAGAGAAAGCAATGAAATATAAACTTAAAAAGATTTGTTAGTATTGGAAAATCAAATTGGTTTCATACTAGAATGATTTACTAGCATAGAGATAATTAATGACAAGTTATAAAAAAATGATCTTACGATTTTTATTGATTTTGAAGAAGTTTATGATTGAGTACAACAAAAATTGATTTTGTGCATATCAAGGAAGAAAGATTTGTGTCAAAAGTATGCTGAATGATTAAATAAATCTATGTTGGAGCACTAATTTACAATATTGAATATTAATGCGATATGACTAGATTGTCTATCTCTGTTATGCCTCATGGCTAAGGGGAGTGACACAGATACAGAGAGAGAGAGAGAGAGAGAGAGAGAGAGAGAGAGAGAATTTTAATGAAATCATACTTAGTTCACTTAGAGTTTACATTTATTTTCTATTGAACAACAGGCAATCTTTAGAGTTTAATCGTTGGCTTGTGCAAATTGATTGTGCGTGCAAAATTAGGATTTGTGCTTGTGCTTGGTTTCCTAATGATAAATCTCTTCATACACAAACTATAAAGTACATGTCAAAACTATGGAAATCCTGCCTTCCGCTCTGCCTACAGTGCATGACACTTCTGCATCTTATAGCGCACGCGCAGGAATTCTGTTTCCTTCTGGTAACACTAGTCTAGTAGCCTGCGTGGCTGGCATCTTACGAATTCGAGGGCTGTGTTAATTGCAATTAATAATGTAGCTATTTTTCAGCTCCTAAATTGTGTATATTCCTACTATAAGTTTTCCTAATCTCATATAAATTTGACAAAAATGATGAAATGAAAGCTCAAACAATTTTCTCTATTTCTTGCCAAAGACCATGAGGATTCAGTGATTCACCTAACAACAAGATTACATGATGACTAAATAAGTTCTAAAGGCCCCAAAAACATCATAGATGGTTCACCTCAGCATAAATGGCCACAAAATGTATGACTTTGATTGTCTTCACCTCATTTCATAATCAAGTGACGACACATTGAAGAAGAAAACTATAATAGTTGGGTAGGCGGCACATAGATAAGGTCTCGATGAGATTGTTGTGAATGGAAACACTCATTGAGCAAAACATAAGCACTCAGAGTTACAAATAGCAGCATTCAAAGGATGAAACCTGATATTTGTGATGAATAGCAGCAGAGACCTTACCTCTGTCCAAGTGATGGTGGCGGCAAGATATCATATAGAGAGAAAAGGGTCTGAGATGGGAATATGCTGAGAGAGCATGGTAGGTACCTGTGAATGCAAGAGTTCTTTTGGAGTTGCGAAAAAGGTCGTGAACTGAGGAGCTAAATAGCTCATCAGAATAGAGCACGAGACTATATTTGGGGATCAGGAATTTGGAACGGCTAGTGTTCTGTTGCAGGTTTTATGTGACTATTAATTTTTTGTGTGAACCCACCATTTATGACTCAAGTTTCTTCCCAGAAAAATGTACAAATAAAGCAGTTTGGTATGCAAGCATGCTAATCTGCATCCATAACATTTTTTCTGAGATTTCTCACAGCGACGTGGTTAAGTGCACTTGAAGTATGTGCCCAAGTGTTTTTTATAACATTGGTTTGAAAGCATGTGAATACTTCTGAACCTCAAATATAGTGTGTAAAGTGTAAACAGTCACCGCCAGATGAAATTCTATGTGAAGGTTTTGAGAGAGTCGAGGAGAGATGCGAGGACGTCAATGATGTGATTGCCTTGCCAGACATTCTATGCTTTTTTCTCTCCTATTAAGATCACCCTTGATGACGTTCCTTAAAAATAAAATTACTTTGCAACTTTTTAATTATTAACTTTGATAATTAAGGATTCCATTGTCATGATTGCAAGGAAATCCAACCAACTTTATTTCAAAATGTATCAGATAGTAGTTTAGTGACGGAACTGCCAAGCAGAACCTTGCCAGTATAGAACCTAGTATAGTAAGGCATTTCACTTCTCAGAATTGCAGCATGCCTCATCTTCAGTTCTTTGTATGGAGATGTAGGCTAATTAGGTTCGTTTTAGGATAGCTATCGTACATTATCTTCCCATCTGCAAATGCATGCATATTGTAACTGCTATTTAACTCTGCAATTAAAAATGGCATCCATTGATGCTAAATGTTTTCATTAAAATGATAACATATTTTCTTACAGACTCATCTTATGAGCACTCATTAGAAAAGATTGCGTTAATCAGCTTACAAAAGTGAACTTTGTTTATTTAGTTTTAATCATATCACAAGCCTGTTGCTGCCATTTTTTTTATTTTTCAATTTCTGATAGCTTTATATTCTCTTTTGTTGTGTGGTTAAATCTAATGGAACTTATTCTGGGTCAATTATTTTGGATTACTGTAGAATTTAATCTTGATATAGGAAGGATTTTGGTACCACCATGCAGAACCGAGTTATTTGATGCTTGTGTACTGGATCCCTGCTAGTAAAAATACATTGCCTGTTAATGCCACTCATAGGGTGGGCGTTGGTGCATTTCTGATAAATCAGAAAAGAGAGGTATAATCAAGTGCTTACTGTTAACCTCAATTTGGTTCTGCTCCTTTTAGTTAACTGAATGTTTTATTCTTTCATTTTAAACCTGAAATATTTTAGTTTCATTTTTGAATTAGGTTTTGGCAGTCCAGGAAAAGAGTGGGAAACTTAGCGGCTCTGGTTTTTGGAAACTCCCTACAGGCGTTATTGAGCATGTAAGATATAATAACTTGAGCATTCATAGCTTATTAAAATCACAAAATTAAATTCTTCTATCATCAGCCAGGTTAATTGTCTCTGCAGGGTGAAGATATATTTGCAGGTGCCGTAAGGGAAGTCAAGGAGGAGACAGGAGTACGTATGCTTCTATGAATTTTATGTTGATCTTATTAAGATTTTGGAATTGATTTAACTTTGTTTTTATCTTTGTATTAGATTGATGCTGAATTTGTGGAAGTGCTTGCGTTCAGGTGAGTTCATTTCAAATCCTTGAGGTGACTATTTGCATATCAATCACACGCGAGCAGTGAAATGGCTCTTTAATTGTTTGTGTATGCTTCTCTGCATGCATTTTCAACTTCCCATTTCTCTGAATAAAGATTGAACAAGTTTCTGAACAACTAATCTTAGTAAATTTATACTGGAAAGTGTTTACATTGCTCTATGGACTGTGATTTAGGGATGCCTGCAAGGATGTCAAAATCTTCTAATAATATGCAATGAATTTGGATGGCACTCTTTCAGTATTGGTAACCACAATTAGTACCAAGTGCAGCCTTGGTGATAGAGACTAAACACAATCTCTCCTTAAAATGTTTTAAGAAGCTAAACTAGAGACTTCTAGCTAAATTAGCATCAATCCGTGATTCCTAAACTTTTTGGTAACTCTCAAACTACTTTTCTATTTTGACAAGGTACGAGCATAATGGAGAACATCATATTTATTGTCATTCAGGTTTTCGCTTCCACAATGATTTGCTTCTTTTTATTAACCCTATAGACATTACAAAGGTTTTGAAGTAAGTTTTAGATAGTTCATCCTTGATTTTTTTTCGTAAGGCATTCATGATTTTAGCTGGAACAAGACTTATAATGATTTTTCAGCTTTCTTTTCTCTGTTAATTTTTTTTGCATGACACCTTCTAAAGATATTTGGGACATGCCAGGCTGCCCTCAAGTACAATTTAAAAAAAAAAATCTTTTCAGTGGTGGAGCTGTATGCTTCACTGAAAAATAAGCATACAATAATTGTTATTTTACTGTCTTTTGAACTAGACCGGTCATGGCCGCTTCTTGTCAATTAACTAGATTTTACACTAACTTCTTTGTAGCTCATATGGTGCAGAATAAGCAGTAACATAGAACAAAACTAGAGACCAGTTATTTCTGCTAATGTTCATTCTAGGATAATTGCACGAAACAAAAAGGGTTTAGCCGACTCTGCCACTGCAGAGCAAGTGGATCAGACATGACTGGGGGAATAAAATAAAAATTGAGGAATTAGTAAAATGTAGAAATTAAAGTAAACCTATATGTATACGAACTAAATGACAAAGGAGATAAATATGTGTTATGGTGGTATTGTCACTATGTGGTGATGACTTCGTCAATTTCCGAAGTCTACTTGGAGAACTTTTAACTTGGATTTCACTTCTTTAACATTAGCATTGTCGGTGGGATGATAATCAAATATGTCCTTCACACTGTAAGTTTTGAAGATTTCCAGATCATTCGACAAATCAATACAACAACAACAACAACATCAAGCCTTTATCCCACTACGTGGGGTCGGCTACATGAATCCTTTTTCTCCATTGTGTCCTATTAAAAGTCAAATTCTCGTTTAAATCTAATAAAGAAAGATCATTCCTAATATTTTCTAACCAAGCCTTTTTAGGTCTACCCCTACCTTTCTTAACATAAGTCAAATCTAATACCTCTACTCTCCTAACCAGGTCATTGGAAAATATCCCACCCTCAAAATTCAATTCAAATAATGACATTTAATGTGGTCTCAATTATGAGCAGCTGTTATATTTGTAGCTTTAGGTGGGGATGTAGTTAGATCAACTACAAAATTTGATATCTTGGTGTAGACAATAGAGAATGGGGACCTTGTTGTTGAGCGGTTTACCACATTGTTAAATGCAAATTTAGCTTGAGCAAGAGCTTGATCCGACATTTTGGGTCTATCTCCTGTCATACAATGAATCATAGAGCCCAAAATGCGGTTGAAGATTTCAGTTTGTCCATTCATTTAGGGATTATAGGCACTACATCCACTACTACTAAATGTTAAAATGTTGTCAAATTTTTTCCATAACACTCGCCAAATATGATTTACAAACTTGACATCGTGGTCAAATATAATAGTTTTAGGAATGTAGTAGGAAGCACTTGTAGATCTCAAGTATTTTCTATCAATCTTCGAAAAACAACGAGAATTCTCCACAAAAATCCACACAAAATCATGAAACAATAGATAATTTGTATTATTTGATGAAAGGGAAATAGAAAATACCAAGATACAATTGATCCTCTATTCGAGAGGATGATCTTTCTCTCCCAAATCTCTAGACATCACTAGAGCCCAAAGAAACTAAGAGATCTCAAATTTCAGCCAAATTCAAGATGCCCTAACCCTAGTAAAACATATTACTTAATACATAAAATTCAATAGCAAATCTCTAAACAACCCATACTTTGAAATTCCCTCCTAATTCCCTAAAAGATCCTTCCTAAATAGCTTTTTCCTACCCTGGCGATCGGATCGTGCGTATTGGAAGACGGAACATCTCCGCCTATTTTGCACGGGCCAGTCCTGTTGGACCGGCCAGTGGATTGGTCTAACAATACCCCTCCCAAAGATCCATCTTGTCTGTAAGGTGGGAAGAAGACACCCTTCTCGATTCCCTCATCATTACAAATAGTGAGAACCTGAAGAGTTCGGTCCTTACATCTGTGCCATTGTGTATACCTCTCATGGCATCTGAAATAAATGCCATTTGCTCTCTTCTCATGTAACTCTGTTTTTGCGAGCTTCTTGAAGTGGTCCCCGGGTCTTTCTCTGACAGTCTTCTCCTTCGGTGTCTCCCGAAGGGTACCCGTTGTCAGCTCCTTGGATGCCAAAAAGGTGGTGGCTATCCTATATGTGCCTTTTGAGTTTCTGCCTTCCACACCTTTCTCCAGGTGCATTTGATTCTCCACCAACTGAGCTAGCTCCATAGCCTCTCCCAAGTCACAGGGCCTCATCACTCTAACCATTGTTCGGATCTCTAGTGTCAGTCCCTTCATGAAGTTTCTCTTTAGCACTGTCTCAGAAAGACATTCCAATCAGCTAGCCAAGTACTCAAACCTCTCCCGGTACTCTATCACTAAACCATCCTGTGTCAAGGTGAAGAACATCTCATAGAAGTTTCCTCCTCTGTCATTTCAAAAAACGTTGTACCAAATAATCCTTGAACTTCCTCCAACTCCGTATGGGTCATCGCATGTCCTCCATTGGTACCAAGCCAAAGCCTTCCCTTCCAAACATAGGCCCGCTGCTGTAAGTCTCTCCTCATCCGTTAACTCATTGACAACAAAATTTCTTTCAACATTGTAGATCCACCAGTGCGCTTCCTCCCCCTCAAAAATTTGCATCTTCAATTTCCTCACCCTCGGATCACCTCAGTTCCCTCTGTTCTACCCCTAACTTTCCATTCCCCAAGGGGGTGATTCCCCCTAATTGTTCCAATCATCCCTCCTCCGCTCACACTCAAACCTTCAACGCAAACCCACCTCCTCCCTTCAAATTCAGCGGCCCTTCGATCATAGTCAACTCATCTCCTTTGAAATTCGACACCTCTTCGATCATAATCAAGTCATCGCCTTTCCAATTTAGCCCCTCTTCTTTCAAATTCAACATCCCTCCACTCATGCCCAGCTCTCTCATGTCTCTCCACATACTCTCTACTGAACTCCTTCCTAGGAAGAGGTCCTAGGGGAGGCATTTTTTCTGTTCCCTCCAAAATCTCCACCTCTTGATCTTCCTTTCGTCTTATTGGCTTCGAATTTTTCCTACTTCTGTGGTTGTCGGCTCATTCCCTCACCTCCGACGACGATAGCGATATTTTGGTTTGGCCCTTTAGCACTTTCTTCAACATCTCCAGGATGGAAAATTTCAAATCGAACTTATCGTGGATGGCTAGAACATCTTTTTTTAAATCTAAAACTTGAGTTTGGAGATCAGAAATTTCAAAATTCATTTGTCCAATCTCTACTTCGAGGCGTTCCTCCAACGCATCCATTTTCTTGGCCACCATTGATGCCTGGATTTTTATAGAAATAAAAATCTAGACATCGGCCTTAAAAAATAGCAACTTTCTTCTTCAAAATCCCAAGAACAGCCGTTAAAATTCACCAAAACAACCCACCAAAGGTCCCAAAAACAGGTAGGATACCAATTTGATAGGAAACATTTGTAGATCTCAAGTTTTTCCTATCAATCTTCGAAAAACAACGAGAATTCTCCATAAAAATCCACAGAAAATCACGAAACAGTAGATAATTTGTATTATTTGGTGAAAGGGAAATGGAAAATACCAAGATACAATTGATCCTCTATTCGAGAGGAGGATCTTTTTCTCTCAAATCTCTAGACGCCGCTAGAGCCCAAAGAAATTAAGAGAACTCAAATTTCAGCCAAATTCAATATGCCCTAACCCTAGTAAAACATATTACTTAATACATAAAATTCTAAAGGAAATCTCTAAACATCCCATAATTCGAAATTTCACTCCTAATTCCCAAAAAAATTCTTCCTAAACCTCTTTTTCCTATCTGGGAGATTGGATCGTGCCTACAGAAAGGCAGAACATCTCTGCCTATTTTGCACGGGCCGGTCCCGTTGGACTGGTCGGACCGGTCCAATGGACCGGTCTATAGAATGCTGTGTGATCAAACCACCTTTTCCAACACATTGAAGCTTACTTTTTGCTCATCATTTCAACTAAAATTTCCTTTTTTGGGGACAATTGATTATAGGGGAAGCAGTGATTAGTAAAATTGTGATGAAATAGATGATAGAGTGTGGTAAGTCCATGAAAATTGTGTACCTTGTAGATATTCAAGGGTGTTGGCCAATCTTGTATGCTCCAAAATTTTGCTTCTTGCACTTGAATTCCTTGATCGGTGATGATGAAACCCAAAAATAATATTTGTTCAACGAGAAATTCACAATTCCTTAAGCGGAGAGATAGCTTTTTGGCATGTAGTGCATATAGAATCTACTTCAGGTGTGTAATATGGTTGTCATTGTCTTTGATGTCGATTAGGATCTCGTTAAAATATACAATAGCAAATTTTCCAATGAAGGGTTTCAAAACTTCATTCATTAGGTGCATGAAGGGAATCACTTTCATTCATAGAGTCCCTTCTTTGTTTAAAACTCAATCTTTCATTGGTCTCTAAGTCGGATGCTAACTTGGTG